TTGAGCAGTGCATTGCCGAACCTACCCAGGGTTAGGTTATTTTAGATCCAGTATTAATAAAGGGATTGCATACTTAGGGATCCTATAGTCACAACACAATATGATAGAATTTCAAATTCAGTTTGAGGGAGAGTAACTCTGTTGCTCAATTTCAATAAAGGGCAATTGCAGAAAGAATTGTCTAAAGCTGACTGGGAAAATAGACTAAGGGAAGGTCAACAGACAGGCAGTGCCAGACATTTAGGTAGATATTTTGTAACACTCAGTAAAATTTATTTAATCAAAAAGGACTCTGTGAGTAGGATGGAGCATCCATGATTAACAAAAGGTGGTTGTAGACAGTACAATCAATAACAAGGCATACAAAGTGACAAAAGCTAGGAGGTCAGAGGATGGGAATTCTTTTTAAAGGAATCAGCAGCACACAAGCTTATAAAGAGGGGAAAAACTGATTATGAAAGTAAATTGGCAAGAAATATAAAAACAAGGAAGAGCTTCTACAGGTATATAAAGAGGGAATTAGTTAAAGTGGGTATGGGAACCCTTAGTGGATGTGACAGGGACATTGCTGAAAGGCAGATAATTTAGACCAACATCTTGCATCAGCTTTTACTCATGTTTATATCTCAAACTTAGCAGACAAGATGCTAAATCAGACAAAAGATCTTGTGTCAGTCTCTACCATAAGGGAGAAAGCATTCAAACAATCAAAGGTAAACCATAATTTAAATGGACAGAGACTGCAAATAAACTGGACAGAGGGATCTGGGTGTACATGCAAATAAAGCACAAAGTATTAGTATGCAGGTACAGTAAGTAATTAAGACGGCAAATGGAATTTTAGCCTTTATTGCTCAGGAATTGGTGTTTAAAAGAGGGAAGTCTTGTTAAAGATGTAAAAACTGTGTTGGTGAAGCCACAACTGTGTACAGTTTTGGTCCCCGTATTTAAAAAAGGATGTAGTGGCATCGGAGACATTTTAAAGCAGGTTCTCTTGGCTGAAGGAGCCACAGTATCCATCTTCTATCCGCCTCCCCCTCTCTCCCTATTTATTTCAGTATCCCCTTCCCCTCCCCCATTTCTGAAGAAGGGTCTATGCCTGAAACGTCAGCTTTTCTGCTCCTCTGATGCTGCTTGGCCTGCTGTGTTCACCCAGCTCTACGCTTTGTTATCTCTCAGCTGAAGCCTGCGATGAAGGCGTTGACTGATCAAGAACAGCCAAACTGGTTAGGCTTTTATTCAATAGACTTTCTCAGAATTAGGAATGAAAAGTAAAAGATTCTGAGGGTCCTTAACAGGGTCAATGTCGAAAAAATGTTTCCACTAGTAGGGAATCAAAAATCGGGGACATAGTTACAGAATAATGGGAATCTCATTTAAAACGGAGATGCAAAGGAATTTCTTCCACAAACATATCAACAATAGTTGGCCACTGGCCCATCAAGCCTGCTCTGTTATTACACACCTCTGAAGCAAGTGGGACTTGAACGTAGGCCTCCTAGTCCAGGGGTAGGGACACTACCGCTGTGCCACTAGAAGGAGTATCACCAATAATCTTTCATGCCAAGGGGTCAACGAATGCCTGGAATTCTCTACCCCAGAGAGTTGTGGAGGCTAGATCACTGAAAGTACTTAAAAAGGAGACATTTTTTGAAACAACTTAAGAGCTGAGGGCAATGAGGAATGGGATAAAAGAGGAGTTGTGGCCTGGGACGGATCAGCTATGGCAGGACAAGCTTGAGGGTGACTGTGACCTGCTGCAGCTCCTATTTCTCATGTTGTGAAGAGAGATTTAAATCAGGAGTCTCCAATCTCCCAGTCGTGCACGCTGGTAGCTGTGCTCGTGTAGAGGAGATAGGATTGGGCTCGTCAGTCGAACGGCCTTCCTGCCCGGACCTGCTGCTTGGGACCGTAAACAGGAACAGTAAAGCTTTTCAAAAAGTAATCGGGTAAATAATACAATTTCCTGTGAAAGACCATCCAAAAAACACACAGCAATTGTCATACCAGACCAAAATACCACTGCCAAATCATTTCCCAACAACCATGACCATTGAAATCAGTTTTATTTATTAACAAGGATACACACGAGAGGTGCAAGAATTTGTGCCATCAAGTGACATTCACAAAAACTAATCAAGTCTAAACATGTATAAAAATACAGCTCAGAGGAGACGGAGGGACGAGTTAAAGGATGAGGAGCAAACAGGAAAATAATCTCTGATACAAAGTGTCACAATTCTGGACAGGACAAACAAAACTTGACTACAAATAACACCGACCATTTAAAAAGCATCATCAGACAGTCCTTGCCATTAAGGGATCTTTCCACAATCATTATTCTCTTCAGTACAGACTATACTTGCCCTGTACCTTCCCAACAAATCCTGCCCCAGTTCAATCCCTAAACAAGGGGATCACTAATCCCTCGAGTGAAAGATGCAAGGGGTGGGAGGGAGGCGGATCAATGGGTGGTTCAATGGATCAATAAAAAGAACAAAAATCACAAATCACATCTGTCCCCCTCAACGCAGTGATTATTCCTGGCAACACGCGTCAGAAATTAGACTGAAACCTCAGACAGTACCTCACCCAGAAAATGCAAGAAGGGCCAATATAAGCAAATGAACTCAGTATGCAGGAGTGAACGGTAGGAAATAAAAATTGTCAAAATTCCAGGGGAACAAACGCTCCCTGCAAAAGGCACTTTTGGTGAGACTTGAAGCAAATTGACCAGACAGCTTTGAAATAGACATCGAACAAAATGAGAAGACTGCCGAGCATTGAAATATTTTTTTGTCAGGGAGTCTTCCTTTTGAAACAAATACAAGATAGTTTATTGGTGAAATTAACCTTAGACACAGAAAGGGTGATGAGATATTCACCCCCAGTGCTGCAGGGCACTAAGATTGATAACTCTCTGACCAGGGGTAACTGCAGGACGCTGCTGGCATCTAGTGGCAGGCAAGCAACACTACAAGTTTAGCTTTCCCTCCGAATCCTCCTCACCCCTGTCTGGGTCAGAGTTTCCGTACTGACTAATCAACGTCAAGTTGGTGCATTGGATATTAAAAAAGGGACCCTTTTTTAAATATAAACACCAAACCTGGGAAAATTCAGGAGTGGAAGGCTTCCAGCAACCTTCGTGAAAACTGAAAGAGCTGCGGCTACTGCAAATCAGAAGCAAAAATAGAAGTTGCTGGAAAAGCTCAGCAGGTCTGGCAGCATCTGTGAAGTG